GTTGTGGTTTATGTTTAAGAAATTTTTGTGATCTTTTCAGAAAGTCAACCTTGTCATATACCTTAGACTAATTTGTTCACAAGAGCTAATGAGAATTGTCAAGAAAAAGCTTGCTTTGAAACATTTCTCCATTAGACAAAATAAATTTAAACCTTAATTCACTTTATGATGTTAATATTATTCAGTTCTTTAACAAACAAATAAAAATTTGAATTATCAATAATTAAAATGCTGATACATGTCTTTTTAGGTTGACACTAAAGTTTTTTTTTCATAGCTTGCATTTGACATTATTGTTTTAACAGAATTCCATTATCTTCCTTCTATTGACACTTACAAGGTTTTGTATTATAAATTGTGCAATAACTAATATTTGGTAAATATATTTAATATTTTACCATTATTGTACTAATTAATAAATAAAAAAAAATATCAAATTTTTAACAGGTCCTATTATTTTATAAAATAATCACATGACATGCATTTAGAGACCAGATTGTCATATCAAAGAATCGAAAAATTTCTTGCACATATAGAACTTAGAGGGTGCATTTAGCCTCTAAGTCTCAAGCTTGAGACCAGAACATTGTGTGCATTTAAAGAGGGTATACATTTATAGAGGGTGTATTTAGAGAGATCTGACTGTATTAAAAGTTATAAGAAAGAGTTATATACAAAATTCTTAACCTATATTTCATTTTATTATTGAAATTATTTCTTTATAATCACTATAATTTTAGTCAAGACATAATTTTGAATATCCTTTTATAGAAATTTATATTACACACACTTTAAAAAGGAAATTGAATAATTTAATTATTTTATGAATGGCAATTATTAAAAAGAAAATTATTTACTTTACAGTCATATGATTTATGAATTATAATTCTAAATAAAATTAAGATAATTAAAATTTTATATCTTTATAATAATTACACTTTTATATAATCATCATTTTTTTAGAAAACTGAATAGATTATTATATAAAGGTATAACTGTATATTATTTTACTAAAATATTTTAATGTAAATATAAATGTAAAATAATTTATAAAGATTTAAAAAATTTTTTTTTACTAATAATATCAATTATATTCAAATTTTATATTAATCATTTTTAAAATAAAATTTTATATTTTTGATTTATATTATACAAAAAAAAATATAAAAGATTTTACTAATATAATTATTTATTTTATTAATAAGTTAATAGACTATAAAAATAAAGTTTATATATTATTTAATAATATGAATGATAAATCTTATTTTTAGTTAAAGAGATCTATTATTTAATTTTAATAGCTTAACTTTTATATATTTATTATATAAAAAAATTAAAAATCATCTTACATATATAAAGTATAAAAAGCATATTTAGCATTTATATCTTAATTTAAAATTAAGATAACTTGTATATTAAAGAAAATATATATTTATAATGAGTATATTTAGAAATAATAAATTAAATATATTTTATATTTAAGATAAATCTAATTATAATAATATATTACATGTCTTATTTATAATAATATTAATTTTGTATTATTTTATTATTAATAAAATTTATAAAAATTATAAAAATTTATTTCTAATTTATTTAAATTTTATTCTTTAAAACTAGTATAATATATATTATATTATAGTAATTTTTTTTAATTATATAAGAATATTACTAGTAAAATTAAATTATAAAATATATTAAATTATATAATCTATAATATAATTTTACTATTAATATTTTTATATAATAATAATATTAAGATTATTTAAAAACTAAAATTTTTTATATTTATTATTAATTATTAAAATTTATTTAAATTATATTAATTATAATATTAATATAAAATTTATTATAAAGAAATATTTATTATCATTATAAATTTATAAATTATTTATAAAGTAATAATTAGATTTAATTATAAATTTTGAAATATTATATAAAAAATATTAATTATATTTTTAAATTCTTTAAAAATTTGTTTTATATAATAAATTAATTAATAAAATTTATAATTCTTATTTTATTTTATTCTATTATTATTTTATATTATTATTATTTTATTTATTTATTTTATTTTATTATTATTTTTATGTTTATATATTATTTTTTGGATTGTAAGCAAATTTGTCTACTTTTTACTATAAACTTTCTTTTAATTTACTTTTATAATAAGTTGAATTTTTTAAATTTTTTTTATAATAAAATTATAAAGTTATTTATAAACTAAAATTTTTAATTTTTAAAAAATATTATCATTAACCTTTAACAATATTATCAAAATTTATTTTTAGTACTATTAATTATAATATAATATTATAATTTTTATATTTAATATTTTATTAAAATTAGTATTTTCTTAAGTTTATAAGTAAATTTATCTTTTTAATAATTTAATAAATAATAGGTTTGTAATATATTAAATTATTATAAATAAAAGAAAATTTTAATAAATAATTTATTTATAATTATATAAAAAAATTTACTCAATTAATTATATTAGTTTTAAATATAATATCTTTATATTATTAATATATTTTTTACTAAAAAAAAGTATTAGTAACAAATATCTTTAAATTATAAAAATATATTTTATAAAATATTATTAGTAAAAAAAAATCTAAAATTTTATAGATATTTTTTATTAAAATAATATATATAAAAATAAAATCTTTAAAACTTATTTAAATTAATTAAATTTATATTTAATTTGATTTAAACAATAAATATAATTTATATTATCTAGTAGTTAATGAATTAAGCTAAATTGTATATCTAATCTATCTTTTTATAATCATTAAATATTAAAATATTTTATATATAATTTTAGATTTTTATTTTTATAATTTTATTTATTATTTTTTATATTTTTAGATAATTTCAAAAGATTTTTAAAAGGAAAATATACTTATAGTTTAAGGGATAATAACTATATATTAAATTATAATATTATATTTAAAAGTAAAAAATGAAATTTAAATATATAATAAATTTAGTTATTTTATCTTATAACTTAAATAATTATTAAAAAATATTTTAATCTTAATATTTTCTTAATATTGTAAATTAAATTTTAAAATTACTTTTAAAAAGAGAATAAATAATATTTAAGCTTTAATATTACTTGATAAATTATAAATTTAAGATAAATTGCGAAATACTTGACTGATTTAAGCTATAATTTTAAAATTTAAATGCAAAAAAATAATATGATTTTTCAAATAAACAGTATTCTTTTTAAAAAAAAAGAAGCCTTAAAAATCTTCACTAGTTGGCATTGCCTATTTGTTCATATACAGTATCCCATTTCGCCATTAAAATTTTATTGAAAGTGAAATTTCATTTATTACAATGAAATTTATAAATAAAAACGATAATATAAGAACAATTAACTTCTTTTATTACAAGCAACTCCTTCAATTAATCTAAATTCCATATTATAATTTGCATTTGATTTAAATTGCGCAGCTTGCATTGCATTTAATATCAAAAATTACTAATTAAGAATAGTACTATAATAAATCTTATTAAAAGTTTACTATATAGAGCAAATTTATTATATAATATGAATTGGAAAATAAAGTAGTTCGAGCTTTTATTCTTATAATGTAAAAAAAATGATTTTTCTTTCATTCAAAATCAAACAATTAAAACGAGACAATATTGCAAAAGAAAAATTCTCGATTATAAAAGGCCATGCTTTGTAGTAATCTGTATGCTTTAGTAGGGTCGCCAACTTTATCCCATCAGACTTGATAGCGCTGGCACTGCGGACGAAGGTAGCTGTCATAGGCAGTTATCAATGCATTATCCTCATACTCATCCCCTGAATTTTATCTATCAGAGTATTGGGATCGATATATCTGAATATGTTAATAAATTATTCAAAAAATAACTTTGGAAATCAGTGACACACACATAGAATACTTTTAATGGTTTTCACAATACAGAAAGCTTTTACGCTAACTCTTCAGAATGTTATTTAAATGTTGTGGACCTCAGTAATTGGTAGTATAAAAACACTACAGTATTAAACATCAATCAAACAACCATTCGAAGCTGAAGAAGAGATAGTCAAAAGTGGACTAAAGAAATGGGTGATAAAAGATCATGAATCTCAGCTGAATAAAAAAATGAGTTTCGCATCTTTACATATTCTTTGCAGAAATAATTGAATTTTTGCTTGGCCGACTATATTTATGTTGGTGTTCTATTAATTATTTCTTAGATAAAGCTTTATTATCTAAATATTCATTGTTAATGTTCGAGATGTAATTTTATTTTACTTTTAAAATCGGTTTATTTTAGAAGGTATTGACGATTAATACAAATATAAATTAATCCGGATAAAATCCGATGATTTTGAATCATGTATCAATCGACCAATGACGAAAAATTGGCAAAGGCTATTTATACTGTAATTATATATATTTTAATTTTCAATAATTTTAAAAATAAAATTGAAAAATTAAATAAGAATCAGCATATCAACGATTTGACTATCACCCATATCTAGCCTAATCTATAACGAGATCTTTTCATAATTTTTTAATATTTCTTTCAACATAAAGAATTCCAAATTATCCATGGCTCTTTCTAATGTATCATTAATGGTAGCAGTCCTATCACAGACATCGTTTCCTGTTTAGGTATTCCTTCTTCTCTCGAACCTTTTCGCAAGATGTTTTGGAACAGACAAAGAATTCTTAAACTGTTCATTTTACACGTAAAGCGAGCAGGTAAATCGATTGCGTAAACACATATGTACACGTAATTTCTTTTCACTCAGAAAACGAAATTTCTCTTTGCTTTTTTATTCAAATACAAAGTGAATATATTTTTGCATTATGTATCATAGGTCTCCTGTTGATATGAGTAGAGATAATTGAAGAATCTGACGAGATTGAACTTCTTATAATAGATAATTAAGAGTTAATGATTGAATATCTCAAGGGGATTAACGAGTGACATTAATTGAATAATATCCAAGTTACGATTTAATCATGAAGATTCGATTAGTTTTCAATAAAAACACAAACCTTCGTCATCTTCTTTTAATACAGTTATCCACACTTATTTTGAATCGGGATAATGCTTGTTTGCTAAGATCATTTAACCTAATAATACAATCTTAAATATTAAGTTAAAAAATATAAGTATATTATACATGGGAATTTGAAGGTGTAGCTGGTTTAGCGGTCGTAGCAGCTGTCGCTGGAACCAAACTTTCATATTGAGATGCGTAAACTTCCACTTGTATAGGTGATGGATCGTTTCTATTTTATTCTTGAGGTTACCTGCTGGAAGCTTCCTTCGTGGAACTCTTAATATCTAGGGCAGCATCTATTCTCCTTCTGCGATTGGCGACTGACGTAGTCCATTGTGTGCCACAAACACTGTGACGATTGCAAGCAAGTCTTTTGCGAGTTCTCCAGTTACGCTAACATTGGTATAAACATCTGAACCGAGTACCACGAGCCGTGTCCCATTTTTTTCATAGATATGCTCCATGTCAATATAAAAAAAATCGACCATCTCTGATACTGCTCTTGTTGATAAAAGAGGACCCAATCAATCTTTACGGAATATTGTATTTGGTGAAGTTTTCGATAGAAATAGTAATGGCAAATGACCAGGTCATATTGCCATTTTGAAATGACCTCTGAATGACATTCGAATGACCTAGTTTTGTTATTTGGTCATTTAAATGTAATACAGGCAAATATTATATGCTGGCCAGAATTGCAAATTATATCACGTTTAATTACATTAATTATTTGGCAAATTTAACCTAGACCCCGGGTTTAGGTTATTATCCTAAACTCCATGTATAAATAAATGTTTTTTAAAGTATATATCACGTGAAATGTACAGTTGCGGTCTAGGATAAAGGTCTACACCCGGGGTACTGGTTAAGGACCCTCTTAATTATTTTGGCCAGAATTATTGAGATCACATAATATAATATTTAAATGACCAGGTCATTTGTCATTTAATGTTGAAATGACTCAAATGACACATGACCAGTCATTTGAGTCAATTGAGGTCATTTTGGTCACTTGCCATCACTGGATAGAAATATAAGAACAAAATATTTAATATATATATGAATTATCTTCAAGGATAGAGAACTTACATTTATTTGAAAGGCTTATTTCGCTCAGTTTTCAAAAAATTTTGAAATACATCAGTATAAAAGATTATAACGAGTTGGCGTCGAAGCTGATGTTTAATTCGGTTCGAATCTGACGAAGTGCCAGTCATATATGGTAGTGCCAGATGCTGGCAAAACATTTTGCATGAGAAAGTAGTAGCAGGGCATTGTAGATGGATGCTTTGAGTCCTCTTAGCAAACATCATCACGGAACCTAGAATCAGATAGAGAAAACGATACCGCCACTCCTATGGTGGTGATCAAAATAGATTCAATTCTTATGGCAATAAAAATAATTGCTGCAATAATCATTTTTTTTTTTTCTTTAGGAAAATTAATTTAGAATTTCCTATGGTCAACTATTGTGTTACGCAAACTCATCTATAAATAAAAATTTTATAATTTTATATTAATAAAAAATATACAAATATACAAATAGCTTTGGAATAAGGCGTTAATATAAACCTAATTTTACCAAATTATATAATCAATTTTAACTTTTTTAGAAATTAATTTCTATAGAATGCATTGTTTCGACATTGCTGTTCGTCAATTGTAAGCAATGAAATTTTTTTGATCCAACGTACTAAAACATGTCCTACTCTTTTATATGGTATATAAAAAAGATTTGATAGCGTTGGCAAAAAATAATTTCGCAAATAGAGATTATTTTGAACAGCAACGACATATTTTCAAGACATTTTGTATATAACTAAAACCAAATAATTTTTACCTATCCATATAAAATATATTGTGCATTTTGTGTGACTGAGGTCTTTATATTTAAGGCTAGACTTTCAATATAATATCTTTCAAATCCAATTAACAAATGGAGCTTACGAAAATGAGACATTTTACCCAGCCTCAAATTTAAAATCTAGCCCTGTGACAATTTATTTACGCCTAGAGTTTACCGCACCACTCCACTTCCGAACCTACCCTTTGTCTGAGGTGTACATTTTCCCTTTGGGACAAATAAGACTCAGTGTTGTGAACATGAACCAAAAAAATTCAAATATATTCAAGCGTGGTGTTTAAATTAATCAGTAATTATTTTCTTTAGACATATTAGTTATAGAAATAAAATGAATGGAAATATTAGGGATTGTTGTTTATATGGAATAACAGAATCAACAGATTAATAATCTATTCAAATATTTTAATTACCATTGTGGGATGCCAGTAGCTCTTGTATATTTGTAACAAGTGTCTATAATGTTGCGACAGATTGTCAAAAGTGGCGTTCATATTGCTTTGTAATATATAACAACAAATATGATGTTTGGAATTACCGATAAATCTCAGTTAATGATGTTGCATATTTTGTCAGTGTTTTCATACAATACGAGTCGATGAGGGTGTTCCATCAACTATGTAAATCAAAACTTTGTTAAGTATCATAAAATTTTACTATTAGAAAGTTTTCGTATTTAAACTATAATTTAGAATAGTTTGAATTTGCTTATAATAAATTTCCTATTAAAAATAATGCATTTTTAAACTTCAATTTCTTTGACTACTTCTTATTAATTTCTTTCCAAATTCACGAAAGTATTCTAAATAACCGTCTCTTTCATGCAACTAGCTGCTTTTTTTAAAAAAAGCTATTCATATTTCAAACATAACAAAATAACTATTTCTGAACAATTCCTCTATAGGAAAATTTTTCTTTTTTAAACTTTTTCAAAAAACAAGGTGTCACATTGTTCCTAAGGTCGCTATGTATGCATTTGATGTGAAATTGAATTTTACAGATCTCGGATTATTTAAAGGGAAGAATTTCAAGCCGTGCCCGTCAATTAAAAAAAGCTCGTGAAATACAGGCTCAAAAAATAAAAATGACAAAAAACAAAAAATTAATGAAATCTTAAATGAGATGGACGAACTAAAACTAAACAATGCTTTCTATCGGCTCTAATTCATTTGAAAATAAAAAAAATAAATATTAACAAATCCAGTATTAAAAAGGTCCGGGAACAAAGAAAAAATCAACCATTGTGTAACATAAATTTGAAGAATAATATAATTTTAGATGATGCAGAAAGAGTTAGAAAAACGGATCAATTATTTGAAAAATTTTTTTCTAAAAAAAAAAATAATATATTTTGTTTAAAATATCCGGCAAAAAAATCTAATTGATCCATTTAACCGGTATAACCGGCAGAAATTAAATGTTCGTCAAAAAAATCTCTAATAGTAAATTTTTATGATACTTAACAAAGTTTTGATTTACATAGTTGATTGAACACCCCAATGAGTCGAGATAACGAACGATTTTTTAATTAAAGAAATTCTATTAAAATAATATAATATAAACTTATTTTTTAGAATATATTTTAAGAGTGCTTGAATTTGATATTACGATAATATTAAATAATTTTCGTACCAATAATTTTTAAAATAAAAGCATACTTTCTCAATATTATAGGCGATCTAGTATTAAAATGCTTCAAATATTCAAGAAACAAAGGTAAATAGTAGGCCATAAATCATTTCACGTGAAACACTAATCACCTTCACTCTTTTCTGCTTCACTCAGAAAACGGTTATTCTTGACATAAAATGACGAAATATTTAGTTGTAGTAATTTTATAATGATTAATATATGTAAAGTAAACTGAGTTCAAAATTTAAGGTTTTGAAAAATACAGGTCAATTTAAAACCTTTAACGAGTAAATTTTTGACATTGAAACGGATCATTTACAATTATGATTAGCTTTCTGCATATTAGTCTGGAATTACTGTGCCCTAGTCTTCATTTATTTAAATGTCTTCTTTTCTTTCCTTTCAATTATATCTGATTGCTTTTTTATCACACAACCATAAATATTTTTAAAAAGGTTTCGTTTATGTTCTTGTATTTAGATAGAGAAAATCGGATAAGTTCTCTTAAAATACGTAATACCAATTTAAAAGTCTAATTCTTTAATTCCTTAATCTCAATTATAAATTTGTAACAAGATATTTACCATTTATATATACATTCATTGCTATTTTCATGGTCTTCATAATTGTATTAGAATTACCTTTTCAAAAGTAAATAAATTGACATTAGAAAAGAATACTTTGGATTTAAAAAACGACATACTATGGCCTTTGTATATTTTGTTTATTTTTCATATCAGGACTAGCAATATTCACATATCAATTTGATTCTATATTCTAATTATTCGATTTTTATTCAGAGTTGTTGATCGTATTCTTTGATTTTCATTTATTTTCAAATGTTTAATTTTTAGTTCATTCTCATTTTTTATTGGTATACATCTCGAACAAGACGTGGTAAAAGAAATTATTATAATTAATTAATTCGTAATCCATAATGAACTGATGAGTAGTTTATTATTATAAGCTTCTAAATTCGATTTATAGTCAAAACCATTTGAAACTATATTTGAAATAACATAATCAATTTACGTTGATCAATTATCCAAAATGCTACCATTACCTCGAATAAATACATTGCATCCTAAACATAAGCTGGACTCGTATTTGAGCTATAATACAAGGTATACTATTAACATTAAATTTCGGTTAAATCTCTTGCAATATATCCCAATTTAAGATAAATAATAAATAAATATCTGATATTGAGCCACCAATGATTTTTTAAATAGATTATACTTTAATTATCAATCACGATTGATAAAAGTATTTTGACTTACATAACGTGCCTGGAAAAAATGGTAACCAGACAATTTAACGGGTCATACGTGGTTTCAACGTGACAAAAAATACTAATCTTCGTTCAAATAAAAAATTTATTTTTATCTCTTCCATTTTTTTCGTGAAAAATCCTTATATTAAATTACATTTTCCCCAAAAAACAACTTAAACTTGAAGCTTATTTATTATATAAAGGATCGAGTTGTTTTTGATCTTATTTTGAAAAAGAAATATTTTCTTTTTTACGCCACCGTGTCTAATTAACAAAATAGAGCTTGCAATTGTCGAGCTATGAAGAATTTTGAATGAAAATGTGTTGATTTAATAAAATGTTATAATGTCAAAATAGCTCGTTCATAGAACAACTCGTTAACTTCTTTAAGTAATACTGTCGAACTTTATAAAGGAGAAATGAGTAGTTAGATATTAGTTTTAATCTTGAGCTAGCATCTTTTTAGAAAATCATGATAAAGATAATTGCCTGAAATTTACACTTTCATGATAAAGTATACGGTTACAAAAAAATTAATTCTTTGTTTAAACATCTAACTTTTAAGGTAACCATTTTTTATTAATATAATCTCCTATCCTAACTAAAACATATTTTTATCAAATACACTTTAGAATCTTTTTAATTTTTTTTTTAGTAAGCAAAAATATCTTAAAAACAAAGCTAATAATTATGGAATTGAAGCAATTATTTAATTTTCCTATCAATCTATTAAATACTGAATCTTTCAAGACACGAAACGTGATAAGTTTTGAAATAATCACTGTGGCACTTTTAATAAGATAAAATACTGCGGTGAAAGAGAAATTTTATTGAAAGAAACTTTGGTGATCAAAATTTATTTAAAACAAAGCATTGATGAACGATTTATCATAAAAAAATTTATTTAATAAAAAATGTTTGCTGTTATTTTAAAAAAACTAAGCTTTGCAAGTGACGATATATATATACTGTATTATCTTCGTCTAAGATACTTAACCTTAATTATATTATCTCTTATATTGAAGGTAAATGATATTTCGATCTATGTAACAACTCATTTAGTTATAGATAATTACAGTTATCTGATATTTCATAACGGCTGTTTTAACTTTTAGAAAATTTTTATAACTTTTTGGAGGTAAATTTTTTTTTATTAGAAATTAGCACATAATTTTAAAAAGAAAATTTCCATGTTTTTTAATTTACTTTTTCACATTCGACAAATTCCGTCTAGAGCCTTTATGGATTCTTTAATAAGAATACCAGGAAAAAACGTCTAAATCATGACTTTATGTTTGTGATAGAACGTAATTTAGGTAAAATTTTATTTTTTGGTTTAACTTTTTAGGAAAGCTTCAGTATTTAATTTATTTCATTCATTTTATGGGAGAGAATTTTTTTCTTCGGGTCATCCTAAATGTAGGTCTTCTTGTGGATTTCTATTTTTTATTTATTAATAGAGAACGTTTCTTTCACGATTTTCCGATTCTTTCCTTCTCACTCTCTTTGTAACTTTAGGATAAGTTGCGCAAGGTCTTTTTTTTTTAAAAAATTATTTTTTTTTTTTAGTAATGGAAAATGATATTTTTTTAAGTGAAATTTAATATAATACTTAAGATATTATTGAATATTAAAAAATATAGCGATCCAGTTCTTTATTTGCCGATTTTTCAATTAAATAATTAAAACGCTAATACAACTCTTTGAACAATTTGAATGATTAATTAATTATATGGTCAATAGCAGAAGCTTCAATTATTATCAATTTATGTTTATGTTTCCTTAAATAAAATTTCGATAAATTTAATTATCTAAATGATTTTTTTTTTTGTTTCTTTTTCAAATTTTAACTTTCTGTAAAAATGTCCTTAAAATGTTTGCAGGATGATTATGAAAAGTTATTGGAAAATGACAAAAGATATGATGTCATTATTTATGTCGGTGAAAATGAAAACGTTAAAGAATTACATGCCCTTTCAAATATTTTATGTTTCAGGTCGCAATATTTTGATGATGAATTAAAAGAAAATGTTGAGAAGAAGGAAGGGAAATTTATTTTAAAAATACCCAACATTCCTCCAAATATTTTTAAAACTATATTAAGGTAAATTAATTCGACAACTATAAAAGCACCTTTATTAGAATTCCTTTTAAAACGGGATTATTTAAGTCTTGATGAAATTGATATTTGGGACAGTTTAATTAAATGGGGTTTTGCTCAAAACCCATCTATTCCTAAAGACGTCAAAGAATGGAGCCATGAAAAAACCACAGTTATGGAAAGAACTCTTCATAGATTTATTCCTTTAGTTAGGTTTCAATATATTTCTTCAGGAGATTTTATAGAAAAAGTAATTCCTTTTAAAGAATTACTACCAAAGGATTTGGTAGTTAACCTCTTAACTTATGTTTGGGCACCGGATAATATATTAAATATTAATATGCAACCACATAGATCGTCAAAATGTGACTCAATCCTAGTTAAATCTAAACATTTTGCTATATTTTCCGGTTGGATTGATAAGAATAAAACCAATGACAAAAAATCGCCTTATGGCTTTAAATTACTTTATCGTGCCAGTAGGGATGGTAATACAATTGCAGCATTTCATCAAAAATGTGATAATAAAGGCGCCAACATAGTTGTAGTTAAAATTAAAGGAACTGAAAAAATAGTGGGAGGATATAATCCATTTGGTTGGGAAGGATGTTTTGAATGGAAAACCACCAAAGATAGTTTTATGTTCTCATTCGTAAATAGAAATAACCTTCAAACTGCAAAAGTAGGTTATATTAGGGATAGTTATGCTCCATATGCTGTATGTTGTAATCCAAATTATGGTCCAATTTTCGGTCAAGGTTATAATATTTTTTGCGATAGTATTAATGCTTGGAATGTTGATAACCCACTTGCTTTTTCTCAAGCTGATAATCCAAAAGGTAATTTTCAAATAGATGATTATGAGGTATTTCAAGTTAATAAAAAATAAATACATGCGTACGTATGATTATTTGCTTTAGTAACTGTAAAAACTATGTCGTTTATAGAATCTTACTAAGATTAGTTGGGCAGTAATAGATTCATAGCAAATGTAGTTGAATTAACCCATTAAACTTCAATATTTACGGTTTGTACGATCAATAAAATGTTATCAGTAACTATTTTGTGTTTTAGGCGATTAAATAAAACGAATGAAAATTTAACAGAACTTTTCATAAGAAGTCAGTTTCGGAGCGCATCATTAGAGAATAATTTAATTAACAAATACGCGAACTCTAATCTGAGTTATATAAGAGATTTTCGGAGTCTGATATAGCCGTTTCAGATATCTAGAAAGTATAAATTGATGATAATTGATGAAAGATTTTGAACTTTAGCAATTCCGACTGCATTAAAAACAAAAATTACAAATATGAAAATCTGTATTAAAAGTATTTAAATAAAATACATCTTGATCCCTTTTTTGATATCGTTAAAAATTTATTTATTAAATTACCAACATTTTTTAATGTTTTATCAACTCAACTTTTATTTCAATTATACGAATACTATTAAACAACTCATATAACATGACTAAAAAGATCAGAAAGTAGGTCAGTCGACTAGCAACTGCGTACAAGAATGGGTATCCAATAGGGTTCGTGTTGCGTTTGGTTGACTATCGACTGCATCTAAGGATGGGGGATATCCAACAGGGCTCGGGTTGCACGAGCACCCACTCATGAAGCAATTTTTGATTCGCATAAGGGAAGATGGCATAGCAATTCCTTCGTCAGAAAATCGCAGACCCTTACCAATAAAACCACATTCACGAACAGTTGTACCGGCTCTTTTCAATTCTAGATGACAAACGATTAAACCGAGAAGAAAATTAAAAAAGATAAAATTACGAAAACAATCAATGTATACCGTATATGCCCCTTCCACATTAGCCCACTTATTTGTTGACTAATAAATCAAGAATTAATAAGGTTTTTATACAGCACAATTAATTTTTTTTTTTTTAGTTTAGTCAATATGAGTTGTCATTTATCGTGAGAAAAAGGAAGACGGAAGAAGCCTGGAATCGGAACACGATAAACGTACGCCTCCAAGTATCCTCATCTATTTAAAATTAAAATTATAGAAAAAGAAATGAAAAAGAAATTAGTTATTGTGATATTCGTATATATTCCACGGAACGAAGAGATGAAAACTATTGTCGATAAAATAACAAATAAAAAAAGTATAAAGAGCTTAAACTACATGTTAAGATTTGAAAAACAGATATCAGGGAGCAAAGTTTTTTAAAAGATAGTCTCTCGCTGAAAGAAAGATAAAAGCCGTGCCAGTTTATTGAGAAATTTTTTTTTTTGTGAAAAGGCTACGAAAATGAAAGAACATATCTGATATTACTTGGTATAATATACGATGAGAAAGACGTGCCTTCTCCGACTTCTTTGTTTATTAATGAAGGAAATCGTGTGAATATTTATTTTCTTTAAAAAATATATATTATCTTTTACTGTAAATCGAGCACATCAGAAATGACAGATTATAAATTGAAACATTCGTTTCTGATGATCACTGACCCGGAAATTTTATTCGTTACTACTAATACTATTGAAAAGGCCCTAGACAAATTCGTTGTCATCCTAAAATGGTAAACGGATTTACTTTTTAGCGAAAACGAAATGTAAACTCATGAGGTCACACAATTCAAAACTTTTTTATGCAGGTAACCTGAACGTTACCGATCGACATGGATTTTTTTATATTAAATTTTTTGTCATATCATTTTATTATGATAAAATTAAAATATTATTTCAAAAAAAATTTAAACCCAAATTTAACCCGATTTTAAAGCGGACATCCAGGTGATATATTGCCCCTTTTGGGTTATTGGTAAAAAAGGTTTGTTAATGGTACAATTAATATGTGAGTCAAAAAAAAAAAATCTTTAATACTTGATTATTAGAAAAAAAGAAATTTACTTCCAAAATACACGATTTTCAGCATCAATTAAATAGAATTCCTCAAATTACTTTATTTTAATTGTTTTTGATTTTCAGTTATGTTTCGAATATCTGTATAATTGCGAATATTTGAATTTTATTAATTTGCAAACAAAATATTCAAAGTTCTATTTACAAATGGAAACCCTGATCAAATGGATAAATGCCAATTGAATAATTTCTTTTTAAAAAAAAATCGAAATTTAGTACAATACGTATCTCTCTAATATTCTTTCAACTATGGATGAGGAGTACGAGCGATTCGATTATTCTTTGAGTTTCCTGGCTTCGTAGCCTGTTTCAGTTCCAATACATCCCAGTTTTCTATCATTAAGAGTGTTTTCTCCATGTTTAATGACGTAGAAGTATAAGCAAAGGTAATATTTATAGATTAATTATCCGACAAAAAAAGTGCGCTATTTGTTGAATGTGTTTTTTTTTTGATATTTTGACAAAGTCAATAAAAGGTTTCCTCTATTAGATTATTCAATACTTCATGTTGTATACAGTACGCAAAAATAATCAATTTGACCAGTCTGTGCCTCATATCTTAATTACATTTTCGCAAGGGGTTAAATCACCTCTTCCACTCCGTTAATCAAATCAATTTCTTTATTTTAATTGTTTATATTATAAGTATCTTTTTGAATTATCATATATTTTGAAATATTTGTCAATTTGATACTTATAATATTTCGTTTTTATATAATTTTTTATATTTAATAAATACTTTGCCTGGATAGTATATTCAGTGGATTTCTAAATTTGGTAACTGAACACTGCAAAGGTTTTTTTTAAAAAAAATTGGTAAAGGATATGCGCATGCAGATAACTACTTCGCTACTTGATCATAAAAAAAAAAAAAATTCAATAAATTTGTATGATTATTATAACTTGATATCTATATATACCGGAGAAAATTACGATCATCAAAATAAATAAAAAAAATAAAAAAAAATAAAAAGAAAAAGAAAAAACGAAACGAAAAAAAAAAAAAAATGATAAAACGAAATTAAAAAAAAAATTATAAAACAAAATAAGACGAAAAAAATTTTTTAAAAAAAAAAGATCGCATGAATAAAGGTCGAACGAAAACGAAAACTAAAAAATAAAAACAGAAAAAAGAAAAATAAAAACGGATTAAAAAAATGAATAAAATAAATGAAAAAATATAAAAAAAAAGGAAAAAAAAAGAAATAATAAAAAAAAACTAATATAAAAAAAATATATATATATAAAAAAAAAATATAAAAAAAAAACGAAATCCAAAAATCAAATCAAAAAAAAAGTTATGATAAAAAAATCAAGCATTAAATTCAAAAATTCACATCATCAAAAGTATACCTTCGCCAATTAAAATTAAAATTTAAATAAAATACTTTCAAATATTAAGACTGGCCTCTGGCCGGCCATCACCATGATTCTAGTTTACTAAAGTCAAGTATCTCATAAATACTTTTCTAATACGTAACGTAGGTTACAAAAATAAATATTTTATTTGAAAAAAACTTGATGATCCTAATAAAACTATATAATTATATATTAAATGCATTTATTTTATCTTTTATTAACTTGAATACTTCATAATCATCTGCATGAAACTGACCATTTGGAATATCAATTTGAGGATAAGAATATGGATTATTAGCACGCCAAGTATTATCAGTATTAAAAAAAATATCATTAATACCAAAATATGGACCAAAATTTGAATCACAATGTACAGCATGTTGAGCATGACCATCCCTAATATAACCTACTTTTGAAGTTTGAAGGTTTGTTCTATTTACGAATGAGAATATAAAACTTTCTTTGGTAGTTTTCCATTGACTATTTCCTTCCCACCCAAATGGATTATATCCTCCCACTATTTGTTCAGTTCCTTTAATTTTTATTACGACTATATTGGCACCTTTGTTATCACATTTTTGATGAAATGCTGCAATTGTATTACCATCCCTACTGGCACGATAAAGTAAATTAAAATCATAAGGCGAATTTTTGTTATTAATTTCTTTCTTATCAATCCAACCGGAAAATATAGCAAAATGTTTAGAATTAACTAGGATTGAGTCACATTTTGACGATCTATGTGGTTGCATATTAATATTTATTATATTATCTGGTGCCCAAACATAAGTTAAGAGGTTAACTACCAAATCCTGTGGTAATAGTCCTCTAAAAAAGGAAGAACTTTTTCAAGAAAATCATCTGATGACATATGATGAAATCTAACTAAAGGGATAAATCTATGAAGAGTTCTTTCCATAATTATAGTTTCATCATTTCTCCATTCTTTGACGTCTTTAGGAATGGAAGGGTTCTGAGCAAAACCCCATTTAATTAAACTATTCCAAATATCAACTTCATCCAGACTTAAATCATTTCGCTTTAAAAGGAATTCTAATAAAGGTGTTTTCATATTAATAAATTTATCAGAATTAAAAAGTTCTTCAGGGTCTTCACAAATTTTTTCAAGATAAAAGTTCCGTAATTTCGTGAGAGGTTCTTGTTGACAAAATGTTTCAAGAATTCCTGGATTGGTTTGTAAAAGCTCATGATGGTCTTTAATTAAATAATCTTCAATTTCGGGAACTAAACCTTGGAGTTTAAGAGCAACTATCGCATTTAGTAGCTTTAATATTTCAGTTCCTTCTAACTTCGTTATATCTATCCTTCCACAATATATAAATCTGAAATTCAAAGAGATTTTAGTAACTTATTTTATATTATTGTCGTAATTGTCGAACTGTATTTACCTTAAGATAATTTTAAAGATATTTGGAAGAATGTTTGGTACTTTTAAAATAAATTTTCCTTCCTTCTTCTCAACATTTTCTTTAGCTAATTCATCATTAAAATATTGCGACCTAAAACGTAAAATAATTGAATGCGCACGTAGTTCTTTGACGTTTTCGTTTTCACCGGCATAAATAATGACATCATAACTTTCGTCATTTTCAAATAATCTCTCATAATCATTAGCCACTCCCTGCAAACATTCAATGGACATTTTTTTTTTTTTTAAAGAAATGAAAATTGAAAAAATTAAAGAAAAAAAATCATTGGGAGGAAAGTTATATATTAATTTGGAATCTTGTAAAATTCATTTAACTAAATTTAAAATTATTCAAGTTTCGTGTAATTAGATGATCTTTTAAAGTGACTCCTTATACCAGTGATGTGCATTTTATGCTTCCAATAGTATAAAATTTGATTGGAAGCTTCCAATCCAAATGAATTTATTAGAGAATTATGCTTCCAAACCCTTCCAAAGGTACTTCCAAGAGTGCTCCAATCTTCCAAGTGCACATCACTGCCTTATACAATATCTGAGATTGTCATTGTATATGAAAGTTACAATTATATCGAAACCCGTCCATTTCTGCGCCTCTTTATTACGAAAACAAAAATAATCACATTGCATTAAAATTCACAACGAAGATAAATCTCCTACATGAAGCTTATCTTCTTCCATGATGCTCATATTCTATAACAACCAATCTAAATAAATATATAACATGATGATTAATATTAAAAAAAAAAAAGGAAATCCATAAGACTCATATGATGGCTACAGAACACATCGTTTTTTTCGTCAGCTTTTTTATATTGACCATAGGCTTCAAAATTTTTATTTTGATTAAAATTTTGATTTTTTCTTTTCTATTAATAAGTTCTTATATGTTAAATTATAAAGTATTTTAATAAATCAAAAATGCTGACATTAAATAAAAGAAGAGTACCATATCACACATGATTTAATAACACTTCAATAATTCCGGTATGAAATTCTGCAAAGCTTGTATGGAAATAATACAAAAATCATAAAAAGAAACCATACCGAACATGTTTTTGTAATTTTATTCTTTTATTTATATAGTCGCGATAACAGGTTTATTGTATCACAATCGTAGAATATAAAAAAAATGATTTTTTTATTTTGCTTTTAATTTTAAATTTAGAACAAAGTTTCCAAAATAATATATTAATTATCGAGAAGGTTTTGAATTTGAAAGCACAGGAACTTGTTGAAGAATTAGAAGAATTACCTTATGAAGAAGATGATATACTTATTGTTAAGTATTTAAAAATTTAATTATAGATTTGAAAGAAATTATTAATAAAAAATCTCAAGATTAATTTAAAATTCGATTTTCGATTAATCGAGTATAATCGATTTTATGAGGTACTTAAATCTACATTTTTGTTTTTCATCTTTCTAACCAATCCGCAAAATTGCCTTTACTTTCTTTCACGCGAAAATTTTTAATTTATCAACAACCTTGTTCAATTTGTTTTATAGTGGTCCATATCCTTTATATTTTCTATCGCCGTAGCACCAAATTGTTTCCAAACTTGATGGCAAATGTCTCAGACCATCATCAATCTTAGTTCAACCAATTTTTAACTCTTTTAGTTTACTCCAAAGGCCATGGAAACGATTGTAATTATTATTTCCGACCTTCCTCGCTGGTGAATTCCTATTCACAATGACCTCATTAATATCATAAAGAATAGTAGGCAAACTTTCTTTGATAAGCTATGCTTATTAATCTTTCACGGAAAAACTTTATTTCACGTAAAATTTATGGCGTAACTAAATCTGTACTTATAAAAAAACAATTAAAAGAAAAATCGAGGTTATTAAAGAAAAGATAATTCAAAGTTTAAAACTAAAATAATTAATTAAACGAAAAAATAATTAATAAAATTAATTACAATAAAAACGCACTAATAAAAATCAATTAAAACTTTAAATTAATAAATTATAGAAAGAAAATTTAAAATTAAATCCCCACGATTATAAAAATTAAAAAATTAAATTTAAATTAAAAATTAAAAAAAAAGAATTAACAGAAAAATAATAAGAAACAGAAAATACATTTAAAATAAATTTAAAATAAAAGAAACAGAAAATAAATAAATTACATTTAAAAAAAATTTAAAAAAAAATATTTTAATTTTAAAAATTTAATTATTTTACAATTAAAAAAAAATACTGCTAACTTGCGAAAAAATTCATAGAGACCTTAAATTTAAAAGTTGACCGCTTATATAATTTGCTACTTTGGTTAAATAGTTAAATTTATTGGTATGCTTCATCGAATTTTTATCATTGAATAATAATAGATTCCATATTCTAAAATTATAAATTTAGAAAAAATAGCACAAGGAGGATTTGGCTGTTTATCGAGCAACTAGATTTGGACATTGTCAATTTGCTTCTCAGAGTAATGTTGTTGCGGTAAAAAAAATCCTAACTCTCAAAATATCAGCAAATAATTTTTTAAGCGAGGGAGGTAATTATTTAATATTATTCTTAATAAATTACATTTTACTTTATAT